TTGGAGCTGTAAATGACTTAAATTGGTTAGGATTTTAATTGCCTGGAAATGACTTTATTACCTTCTGGTGATAAGAGGGCTGTAACCTCCCTCCTGAAGGAGAACAGGACCCCACCCAGGGGTCACCCAGCGGTCAGGGCCCTCCTGGGAAGCCCTTGGAACAGCCTCATCTGGCTGTGGGAGTGATAAGGAAGAATCCTCAAAACATAGGGCAGCCTTTATCTATAATTTCTATCTATAAAGTAACTCTTTTCAAGTTACAAAATCACATGTATATAACAGCTATTAGACATTCTTTGACTGGATTATAAACAGGATTTTCTGATTTCAGAGAACAGAAGGAGGATAGTGGGGATTTCCTTTGAGTGGAGACTTGACACAGAAGTTGAAAGGCATACCCTCAAAGAAGGGTAGGCATTCCTGGCTGAGGGATGAGCAGGCCAAAGGGCAGAGATTGGAATGTTCCTGATTCGGTCCAGGGGCCTCAGTGATGACAAGTTCCCAGTGCAGGGCTCTGAAGGGAATTTCCCAGAGAGGTGGGGACAGAAAGGGCCTTTGGGAATCTTCTTGGTTAGTTCTTGGGGTCAGACTTAAGTCTGTTATGCTTTACTTTCTGTACTGTCCCTGGTGATATCCTGGGGCTGCTCAGAACTTGGCTTTTCTGAGTCTAGATCAGTGGTTCTCAACCTGGGGGTTGCATATTAGATATACTGCAAATCAGATACTTGCATTACAGTTCATAATAGTAACAAAATCACAATTATGAAGTAGCAAGATAAATTGTATGGTTGGGGTCACAACAACATGAGGAACTGTATTAGAGGGTCACAGCATTAGGAAGGTTGAGAACCACTGCTTTAGGTAGACAGGCAGATGTTGGAGCTTGGGCAGCTGTCTCAGAATGGCATCTGTTTTCACAGCATCCCTGGCTTCCTTGTGTAACGCCCCCCCCCCCCGCCTCTGCTCCAGGACCAGGAGCCTGTTTTTGAGAACTGTCTTTTCCATACAAGTTTTTCCCTTCTTCCCTTCTCTTCCCTTCTCTTCCCTTCTCTTCCCTTCTCTTCCCTTCTCTTCCCTTCTCTTCCCTTCCCTTCCCTTCCCTTCCCTTCCCTTCCCTTCCTTTCCCTTTCCTTCCCATCACCTCTTTCTTTCTTTCTTTCTTTCTTTCTTTCTTTCTTTCTTTCTTTCTTTCTTTCCTTTTCTTTTTCAAAGTAAGTGATTCCTGTGGTAATGGCCATGCAAGCTGCACACCTGTAGTTCCAGCATCTTTCAGTGAGATGGCAGACCAAGACAAGAGAATTTCTGGAAACCTGTGAGCTAGTATGCTGGTGTGTGCGGCTGTGAACAAGAGACCCTGTGTCAAGCAAGGTTTTCGGTAAGGACAGACCTGTGAGGTTGCCCTCTGGCCTCCATATGCACATGGTGGCACATGTGTAACTGTCCACAGCATAAACATGCACACACATATCATGCATACACAAAGATAAACCAACAACAGCAACTCTTACATTCTCTCGCTGGCTTTATGTTAATACCAGAGCCTGTTAGAATTCTACTCAGCCTGTCTGTTACCATTCCTGATGACTATTGCTCTGCAGCTCAGAGCTCCTGGAGAAGCTAGGCAAAGGGGGCACCCCTTTCCTTGGGAAGAAGAAACACACTCACGATTTTGAGCACTTTTTGAGAGTTTTTTTGACATTCCTGAAATGGAGTCAAGAACTCCCATAATAGCACCCAGGGCAGAGTAGCTGCTCTAGGCAGCTGAAGAGTTGAAACGGTATTTGGGAAAATGACCTTCCCCTTTCATGTTGTGCTCTTGCCATGTGCCACAGGCTCTGATGTAACCGTCACAGTCTCCCACAGAGCAAGAGAGTTATTCATGGGGAAGTCAACGGAGGGAATATGTCATTTGTTGCCTGAGGTTACATAGTTGGTAAAGATTTCAAACTGATTGCTTTATCCCAGAGGTATAATGAAAGGAAACAGAAAGTCCTTGGGGGTAGGAGGAGTTCCCAGGGAGGAAGATGTTCCCCACATTCAGCGTTTCCTATAGCGGTAAAGCTGAGCTTCTTGTAGTTGAGCAACTCAGGTTTCCAAGATGGGCAAGCTGGCTCAGAAGGTAAAGGCACTTGCTGAAAAGTTTATGACCTGAGTTCAATCCCTGGGGGATCTGAAACCACATCTGTCTATCTTCATTTTTTAATTTTTTTTTTTTTTTTTTTTTTTTTTTGAGACAGGATTTCTCTGCGTAGCCTTGGCTGTCCTGGATTCGGTTGGCCTCAAACTCTTCTCTGCTTAGCCATCGTTGCCTCTGTAGATCAGCTTGAACTCACAGAGCTCCACCTGCCTCTGTCTCCCCAGTGCTGGGATTACCAGCTGACACCACATTTGAATTGGGACTATCACTGATAATCAATTTAGAAGCTACCAGAATACATTTCTTGCTAAGAATGCAGACAGAAAAGTGTGGACATTCCTGGCAAAGGGCCACGAGGGCTCATGGGCTGGAGCAGCTTCTGCTGACGTGACCACGGAAGTAGTTGGGTGGACAGAAAGTATGTGACCTGGTGACCTACAGTGGAGGGTCCTCCCAGAGACAACTGACCAATGGCAGGCTCGGAGATGTTGTGGAGGGCCCTGATTGGTCTCCCAAAGCCATGTAACATCCTCTCTCTCCTAGAATAAAAGAGTCTGCAGCCGCTCACCCTCGGTTTGCATTCACCGAACCCCCGGTGATGTCTGTGCCTCTCGCCTCCTTGGCCTGGACCTCCTGTCCTCACCTAGGGGCTGGACCCTTGGGAGGAAGACCAACAAGTAAGTTCAGCGATAAAAAAATTGATGAGCGTTACATTTGTATAACGGACTTCTGGCCATAAAGTGGGCACCTATACCATGATTTTGAATCTAAATGTCTCCAAAGGCCCATGTGTTAAAGGCTTCGTTTCTAACCTGTGGTGTTCCTGAGATGTGGCAAAACCATTAGAAGTTTGGGAAAGTTAGGTTGCTGAAAGTGTGCTTTTTGTTTTGTTTTCAAGACAGGGTTTCTCTGTGTAGTCCTGGCTGCCCTGGAAATCATTCTGTAGATTAACTAGGCTTAGGCTGGCCTCAAACTCATAGAGATCTACTTACCTCTGTCTCCTGAGTGCTGGAACTAAAGGCATGCACCACTACCACCCTTTGGAGGTGTGCTTTTAAAGGGAGGCTAGGACCCCAGCCCCATCCTGCCTTTCTTTGCTTCCTGGAGGTTAGACAGGAATCAGGCCTCTACCACACCCTCCACTGTGATGTACTGTGCCACCGCAGACCCAAAGCAATAGGGCCAGAGGACTATGATCTTCAACCCCTGAAACCTTTCCTCCTTATAAATTGTTTATATCAGGCCTTTGTCACATGACACAACAGGTTACCTAATTATGAGCTACTTGCCTTTGGTGTAAACTGACTTTTGTATTTCTCCGTCTGTCCCAGCCTTCTCCTTTACACTCACAGTTGTCTGGAGGTGGGGTTCCAATCCTCAGGGTCTCAGGATTGGCTTTTCAGTACAGTCCCACATCCTGTGAGCTGTGGTCTGTAGTTCAGGGCACAGCTGACACTGTTATCTTTAAGTTACAGATGTGAAAACCTCAGTTTTTGCCCGGAGACATGAAACCCTGAAGTCATAGAGCAAATTAGAGGGTATGCAGAGCTAAGTCCTAGGCTTCCCAACACTCAGCCTAACTCTGGGATAGGTCAGGGATCATTCCGATTTCAGGTGTTGTGGGATTCAGGATGCATTTTGTAGAACTTACTCTGGAGCTATACACAGAGATCAACCCCAACTGCGTAGCTGAAGGGAGCAGCAAGGACAGACCTCTGAGTCTTCTGGGTAGGAAGAAAGCCCAAGAGGCGTCCTCTCAGGGAGTAGGAATCTGTTGGGATGGGGACCCCAAGCCATTGCCTGCCCAGTAAGGCATGAGATACCAATGTCATTCCAGTGTCTGTCCACCCTTCACACCTCAGAGTCTCCCCTCAGTTGCTCTTTACAATAGGTCAGGTGGGAGCCACTGCCTCCATCTTAGAAACAAGAAAAGTCAGACTCGGCAGGACATGTAGTCTGTCTAGGGCAGTGGTCCCCAACCTTTCTAATGCTGTGACCCTTTAATACAGTTCCGTATGTTGTGGTGATGTTTTGTTATTTCACTGCTACCTCAAAACTGTAAATTTGCTTCTGTTATAAATTATAACGTAAATAATTTTTTGGAGATAGAGGTTGGCCAAAGGGGTCATGATCCACCGGTTGCGAACCACTGGCCTAGAGTCTCTCTGCAAAGAAACAAAAAACAGAGCAAAGGGCTTTTCCAACACAGAGTGAAGCAGGCTAGCTGGGCCCTGTGTGCACAAAGAACTTTGCTGTCCTTGTCAGTAATGCCAGGGAGGACGGACAACACTCCTTCCCAGCCCACCAGGATGACAAAGACTCTAAATGCTGTTTTAAATTAAAAACATTTCTTCTATTTCTCTCCCATTCTGAGGTTTTTTTATGTCAAAGTCTTATGGAATGTGCTAGACAAGGTCCTTGACATCTGTTTGCAGGCAGAGGTCAGCATCACACTTTGGCTAACCTGGGCAGAATCCGCTCTGTCCAGCTTCACACTGTTTTCAAGTGCACAGTACTCAGTGTTCAGTTCAGACATGGGTGCATGGGTGTGCAGCCCCTCCTGGGTCTCCACATGCCTTGTGCTTCCCCAAGGCTCACCTCTCCTAAGTTAGGGAGAGAGGTGTCCTCAGAAAATCTGGCTGGCTGCTGCTACAGAGGAGATCCGGCAGGATAAGAAGAGAGAAGCTTATTCTGCGGTTCAGTCCCAGCCCTCAGGCAGCCAGGCCTCTCCACAAGGACAATGACTGGCTGGTGAGATGTGTGCTCTCCTTTGCTGCCATGGCTAGCACATTGTTCAGTGGCCAGCTCTGGGTAGCTTCCTGGGCTATGGGCCATTGATGGATTGCGGAGGGATTTTCTCTGAGGTCCAGGGCTATCCGCCATTGCTGAGAGAGGAGAGTAGCTTGCTCAGGAGGAGAGAACCCAGTCCCTATGTTGAAGTGGCACAGATGCTGCCCCACTTGGGGTGTGGAGGTGGCAGGAAGAGGGTAGGGACATAAGGTTGCTGGGTGTGAGAGCCAGGCAGGGGTTGCAGATCCCACGGGTGCCATGGGACAAGGGTGATCTGGGCAGGGAAACAGCCTGGAGTGAGCTGAGTCTGAGAGAGTGGGCAGAACCCTGTGGGAGGCATCAGCATGGGCAGAGCAGGGGGTGTCAGGACAGGACCCTGTCAGGAGAGAGCAGAGGGGACTGATGAGTCCCAACCTTTACTGAAGACTTTCCCTGCTGCCTCCCAGGTGCCTCCATGACTCAGATATCTGGTGTGACTACCTCGCCCTGCCTCGCCTGGGACTTTTAGCATCCTGTGCAGCCCACAAAAACCTACCTGGACCTAATTCTCACAGCATGAATAGCCACCATGTGCCTGGGATGTCACCCCAGTCCTCAGGGCTCCACTTCTTCAGTGGCAGGCCATGAATAGGGTGTTCCAGATCTTAGTCATTTCATCCTGGCAAAAACTTTAGGACTGACCTCTAAGGAGCAAGGTGACTGTTGAATGCCACACTGGGATGTGGGATTTGAACCAAGATCTGAAACGGGGCCATCTACTTTACAGACGACCACCCAACCCCTATGTTCTATGCTTTACCCTGTGACTGTTCTGGGAACTGTGAAGTTTTGTACAAGTTATAAAACCAGCCCCTCCTGTCACTCAAAGGGAGAGCCAGCCAGCCACTTGCCCCGGATCCCATTTTCCAGGCATCTCTTTGACCTTCCTATTTCTAGAAGGATTTCCGTTGTGCCTGGTACTGCAGGCACCTCCCTCAGGGCTTCCTCACACCAGGGCCTGGTTGAGGTGCTCCCAACTGACTGTCTCTCTAGCCCCATTTAAGGACTGGGTCACTCACAGCCATGTCCATGTTTGAGGGCAGGGCCAAGCTGGCTGCACCAGGCTGCTGTGAGGTGCTGAGGCTTCCAGTCTTCTCCTGCTTCCTCCACTTGGCTCTCTGATTCTGAAACCAGATCTGTGGTCAGGGAAAGAAAACAGATGTGTGTAAAGGAAATATATTCCAACTGATACTTCTGGTGCTTTTGCTACAAATGCAGAACAGTGATATCCCCTCCCCCAAAGTCGCATCATGGGAGGGGGCGCTGTTTGCATGTGAAGTCTGGAGACTTTAGGGAAGAGACTAGAATAATCTTCAGGATGGAAATGGGGTGGGGGCATGAGTGATCACTGAGAAGGGCTGGGTGGGGGTCTGCCGTGAACGGAGCTTAAAGGGGATCTTAGACCCTGTGAATAGCTGCTACCAGGAGACAGGAGCCCTCTCATCAGACTCATTCAGTTTCCAATGTGAAAAATCTTGATTTTTTTTTTTTTTTTTAATGTGAGTGCATTTGGGTTTTGAAATACTGTGCAGGCCAAATAAAACCCATCTGTGGGTTATTTTCCACCAGCAGGCCACCAGTTTGCAACCTCTGTGGGCCACTTGGCATGTATAGGTTGAATATTGGCAGATCTCTGCATTCGTGGGTGCCCTGATGGTCTCTGACATGTAGCCATTTGTACTTGGTGATTCTGGGAGGCAGGTGTTGGATTTTAGGCTTGATGGCAGGCACAGGTGATAAACACTCAGCTGGAGCACAGTTCCAAATGGGAGGAAAAGGGGAGCCAGCTAAGGCTGGGCTGGGCTCTAGCCAGAAGAAAATGAGGTTGATTAAAGAAGTGGGTTCCCTAGTAAGAGGAGCAGGGTCTGTCTCTGACATGAACTCAGTGGCTGGCTCTTTCATCACCTCCCCATGAGTGGGGAGCAGCCTTACCAGGCCACAGAGGAAGACAATGCAGCCACTCCTGATGAGACCTGATAGGCTAGTGTCAAATGGAAGGGGAGGAGGTCCTCCCCTATCAGTGGACTTGGGGAGGGGCATGGGAGGAGATGAGGAAGGAAGAGCAGGATTGGGAGGGCAGGAAGGAGGGGGCTACAGCTGGGATACAAAGTGAATAAATTGTAATTAATAAAAAAGTAAATAAATTAAAAAGAGTGGCACATAGGGCTGGACCTCTGTTTTGATTCTGAATGAGAACAAATGAACTACTTTTTTTTTTTTTCTTTTTAAATGATGTAGAAGCCTTTGTGTTCAGAGAGAGTGTCACAGCATTACAGTGGATATGACAGACTCTCTCATGCCGGCCTGGGACTTGTGAAACAGAATGTGTCTAAAAGAGGACACCAGGTCTACCCTGGAGGTGACAAAGGGCTATTGTGTCTCCAATCATGGACACAGGAGTAAATACTCCAGTAGATTAGCCAGTTAATGCTAAAACCTTATCTCTGATCGTAGATCCTTGGTCTGTCTACTTCTCTGCTTCTACCAAGGGGACATAGATGTGTTTTATAGCTACGCTTGCTAACAGTACCCTGATAAGTACCTGCCATTCCAAATGTTTGAGTGGCCCTCAAATTGAGTGTGATTTACATAGTTTGAAATCACTAAGAAACCAAGAGAATAATTTTATTTTATAACACCTGCAAAATGTATTAAAAAAACAAATTTCAACGCTTGTAAATCAAGTTTTTTGGAAAGTCAACATGCTCACTTCTTTCTACCTTGGCTTGTGGTTGCTTTCAGGCCACCATGGCAGAGGAAATGGCCCTCTCTGACCGTGACTGTACGTCTAGCAAAACCCGAAGTGATTACTCTTAGTAAAATTGTTGGTTGATCCCAGTCCTCGCCTGTTATGGCGGATAGTGTGACTAACCTTTAGAAGCACGGACAAGCCAGGAGAGAGGGCGTGGGGACAGAAATGGAGGGAGATCACCGGTGCCTACCTGCTTCATCGCCACCCCAAAGGAGAGATTCCTTACTAAATGAGGTTGGTCTCATTTCTTGGAAAGTAACACTTGGCTGTGATGACTACTCATGAGAGGAAGACCAATGACAGTTTCAATTGGGGCAGTCTTGGAGGGCCGAGAACCCAGCATGAGACTGGCTGGAAGGTGGCGTACCTGTACTCGAGCTTCGGGCAGGTTAATCCTGGAAGCCAGCTGGGTGCGGACGTGGATGTCGGGGTAGTGGGTGAGGTGAAAGAGCTTCTCCAGCTCCTGTAGCTGCTCCGTGGTGAAAGTAGTGCGAACTCTCCGTTTATTCTTCTTTTCCTCTGTTGGAAAAACCATGCAACTTGGGTCAGTGACTTTGATGTCAGCCCCTTGGGGAGATGTTCATGTTGCTTTGTTCTTCCTTCTCTGAACCTGTGGCTACTGCTAAGTCTTGGTTCCTGGTTTCTTGGAATTGGAGAACATTGTCTTCTAGAAGAATTGTCTTCTAGAACACCCTCTGGGCTGACCCTCTTCTCCACATTGAAGTCAACTTAACCTTCTAGAAAATTCTCCGATTCTGTGCCTTTCGTCTGTTCAAATCCCTTTATGGCATACCCTTGTCTACAATGGGAGATGGCAAATCATTGTATTTTTAAATAAAGTTTTATTGAAACCTAGCTCTACATGTTGCTTCTGTATTACCTCTTTCTGCTTTTGCATTGTAATGGTGGCATTGAGTCATTGCATCTGAGAGCATATGGCTATAAAGACTGAAATAATTACAATCTGGCCCTTTACAGAAAAAGTATGCTAACCTTAGCTTAAAAAGTATAGGCTGAGCATGGCAGCAGCAGGGACTCACCAATATGTCTCCAATCCACCTGTCTAGCTTTAATTCCATTTAGGTCTAGTTCTGCCACTTGTGGGCCCCAGCACAAAATGAAATTGTAAGGATATCTGTCACAGGAGGAATGTCTGTCTGTCTATCTATCTATCTATCTATCTATCTATCTATCTATCTATCTATCTATCTGTAAGTATGTATACATGCCTGTGTGGTATGTGTGTGTGTTTGTGCCCATGCACACTTGTACACAGAAGCCACAGGAAAACAAAGGGTGTCCTGTTCTATCATTCTTCATCATAATCCCTTGAGACAGGGTCTTCGACTGAACTTGGAGCTAAGTTAGCAGCCAGCAAACCCCAGTGATCCTTCTGGCTCTGTCCCCAGGGTGTTATGGCTGTGCACGTGTTACATCCTGCTCTTCCCCATATGTGTGGAACTCAGGGCCTCATGCTTGTGCAGCAAATGCTCTTACCCACTGAGTCATCTCAGCTCTCATGGTGGCCTTTCATTTCTTATTTAATTTTTAGAGAGGCAGATTACATGAGAATATTCATTGGGTATGCTAGTCTTTACAGGGTCCTGGGAGTTGCCCCAAAGCTCTGGGACATAAATATTTAGTGGAGAGATTTGACCCTCTTCTGCAACCTGGCACCTGACCTTGAATGTCCTGGAAGCCAGCCTTCAGCCAGACTTCCAAGGTGGAAGTAAATAGGGGCATGGGACGAAAGCCTTCCTAGGACAGCAGGAGTGGGAAGGAAGCATTGGCGGTGAGTGGACGCTCCGTGTTTAATATCCTGGGATTTGCTTAATGTCTCCCTGGACGCCTAAAAGACAAATTCTCACCTAAAATTGCTGAGGAGGTAAAGAGAGTGACCCTATGTATTAAGCTCTACTTGTGGGACCTCCTGCTGGGTGCGTTCCTCTGTGGAACCCTAGTGGGTACTCACCCTGGCATAGCCAGTTCTACCTCCATCTGCCAACCTGTGTACCTGGCCAGCCTCATACAAGTTGTTCAACTGCCTGACTTTGCAGCACACCCCATAGGTATTTTCCTCCAATAAGCTCATGGATCTCGGACAGACTGATCACTTTCTTTGTCCATAATTCTAATTTCTACAATTTCTTTGGGACATAAATTCAGTCTTTAAAGAAAATATTTAAATATTTTGTTCTTTGACCTTTACCTGACTTTGGGTACATAGGGTTCAAGGCGAGACATCAACTGATGGGCCTCAATCTAGAAAAAGTTTGAAATAAATATTTTTGTCTACAAAATATGAAAGAAGTAACATTTTGTAGTGACAATTAAAAAGCTAGAGGTCCTTAAAAATTTTGTAATAGTTAATATCTACTGTCTATATTCCATGTACAAAACTCTACTTCTTTCAGATTATAGAGCAAACGGGTGATAATATCTAAGTAAATGTTTAAAAAGGTGAGCAAGTAGAAAGGGTTTATACATAGAGGAACAAAGTGGTACTACTAGTGATTATATATTATTCTCATGATGGTGGACATTTACCAAGGGAGCAAACAGTCACAGCCGTGTGTGTGTGTGTGTGTGTGTGTGTGAGAGAGAGAGAGAGAGAGAGAGAGAGAGAGAGAGAGAGAGAGATAAAAAGGAGTTGTTGGGGCTGGAGAGGTGGTTCAGTGCTTACGACCAATTACTGCTCTGTCAGAGTCTGGATTCTGGCCCTCACCTTGGGCAGCTCACAATGCCTGTAGCCCCAGCTCTAAGGGATCTGACTCACCCTCTGGCCTCTATGGGCACCCACACAGACATGCAAACACACACAGACACACATCGATTATAAAAGGAGATAAGTAGTCTATGCCCTTGCTCCTCCCAGGGAGCTCTTTCAGAATGGGAGACTTGGCCAATAGCTCCTCGAGGAGCCAAGCTACAGGGGTGCTGGTGGAGCCACCAAACGGTGCGCTTTGTTTTCTGATCAGGGCTTCTGAAGATGGGGCCGCAGCAGTCTTAATTGGAACAATTGCAGGAGTGTAGAAAAAGCGCAAACTCTCAGCGCAAATGGTCTTCACGTTCAGGTGATGATGATGATGGAGAGTCTAACATCTCCCAACCAGGGAAGATGCACACTCATGCTTGGAGGACACAAACATACTAGGAGGCAATCCATGCTTATTTTTCTGGATAGCGTACTTCTTAAAGGTAGGAGCAGATCTCAGATTAACCAAACAATTCCTAGGGAGCGCGTCATCAGTATTTGCTCCAAATGATTAACTTGTTCCTAAATCCATGGAATAGAAAAGACATTTTGGAAACTATGCCTGAAAATTTTGTAGGACATCTATTGTCATGTGTCAGGTAGATGAGTGATGAGAGCTGAAGTGGCCTAAAAGGAGAGGTAGCATCCGAATTCGGCAGAGGAACTGGAGTAGGTACTCCATGGAAGATGCTGGTACTTAAATAACTGAAAAGATTCACTAACATTCCTCTCCACTTTTTGGGGGGTGAGTGTGTGAGCTTGTCAGCAATCCTGCGGTCACTGGATGGTAGAAACCACATCACAAGACCCAAACTCACTCTGGACTTACCTACACAACTTGCACACATTTAATTCACTCTCTCTTCTTGTTCTGGCCATCTGTAGGGTGAGGTAGGAGAGGTGTTGAATGATAGATGACTAATGCTAAATCTACCCTGACCTTCCACAATCCTTCTCTCTTGGGATGCTTGGATGGGGACCTTTTGCTGAGGAGGAAAAGTGCACACAGCAACCAGGGACACTTTTCTTTTTCAAAATTAACCATGTTGTCTTCTCCATTGTAGGAATGAGATTGTGTGGTCTCACCCATCCCTAATGTTCCCACTCTTATTGTCAATCCACTTTTAAAATCTCCTCAAAAATGCCAAAGCCAATGGGAACTGAGGGAGGATCAAAGTGCAGATTGCCACTGCTGGGAGTATGATGGATGGCTCTGTGCCCACCTTCTAACAGGCACTGAGGGCCTGGATGTGGGTGAGGGACCCTAAGTAGCCAGGCTTAAGAGGATTGTGTATATTCATTCATTCATTCATTCATTCATTCATTCATTCATTCATTCATTCATTCAGTGTGGAATGATGAAGAAAAATTTTATAAAAGTCATTAAAAACACAGAGAACATTCTAGACTGTCAGGGCAGCAGTATCCTGGGAATATAGAGTTGTTGAGTAGAGGACATTGAAGTCAGTGTGGAGTGCAAGACAGGAAACAAAAGAGCATGGCGATAGAACGAGAAGGTAGGTTCTACCAAGAACGAACAAATGCTTTCATTTTCTACAAGAAGAAACTTAGGCCATCAGGTGTTCATGCTTAAGGCAATTCCTTGATAAAATATTTGCTTCAAGTAATTCCAGCACTTGCGGAGGCAGAGTCAGGTGGATCTCTGTGAATTTGAGGCCAGCCTGGTTTACGAAGTGATTGCAGGACAGCCAAGGCTATACAGAAAAACCTTGTCACAAACAAGTAAGTAAGCAAGCAAGCAAACAAAACATTTGCATCAAGTTGTTTGTGTGTGTGTGATACTGTTTTTAAAGGATACAAGGCTTTTCTCACCCACAGCATGACTCTGTGAGCATCATGTGGAGGCTGAATGAAGAAGAGAAAGGATCTAAATCCTGTTCTGTTCAGTGCTTGCCTGCTGACTGTACAAAAGGACTGCCTCACTCGGTACAGGGTGGCTAGAAACATCTTCTATGTCATTGGCTTGGAACCGTACGTGCTTGGGATGGACATTTGTTTCTGAGAGATGATGATGGTGATAGTGGTGGTATGAGGGTATCTAGTGATCCCTCTAAGAAAAATGATGGTACCTAAAATTCACACTCGTGGGAGGCTGAGCTCCAAATGTTGCAGCTTTCTTGGCTCAAGACGCCAAGGCCTTTTCCCCAAGACTGGATGTGGGTTCTTGATTTTAGTAGTGAATGCTGATTGTTTTCTCCTTATAACATGATGTTTTTCCTTAAGTTTATTGTGATTTTTTTCATATAAAGAGTTTTTTTTTAACAAACAATATATTTTGATCATATTATTTTCCTTTCTGATGCTGATTTTTATTTAAATTCCCTTTTTGGGAACAATCCCAAACTAGAGAGATGTAAATGGTAGTAAGAGAACTCCAGAGCTGAGGTCACTTCCAATTTTTGGGCTCCCAACCAAGGCCAGGTCCAGTTAGGGGAGAGACAGATAGACTTGAACCCGAGAGTCAGGGAAGCCAGTTTAGGACCTGAGGCTGGACTTCATGCAGAGAAGTTAAGTTTTCAGAGCTGTATTATTTAAAATAGCTGCTGCTAGCTCAGAGCAACTATCAAAAGTAAGCAAACTAGAGAACTCCACTCCTTAGCCATGTATCCATTGCAGGACAGCCAAGCATGGTGAGGGGCTACCATGTTGGATGGTATATCTGTAGAGCAGAGCCATTCTGTGCAATGTTCTCACTGGGCTGCCCGCTGGACTCCTGAAAGAATCATGTTAGGGGCCAAACTTT